TGTGCAGAGCAGCTTTCGTCAGGGGTAGGAACTGGACACGTCGGATGTTATATTGTTATTCGTGAATGGAGTATATTCACGTACAACCACCAGTTGTATATGTATGGTGTATACTGAGAGAGAGAGAGAGAGAGAGAGAGAGAGAGAGAGAGAGAGAGAGAGAGAGAGAGAGAGAAGAGAAATATTGCAGTCGCCTCTGTAAGGTGTATATATATATATATATATATATATATATATATATATATATATATATATATATATATATATATATATATATATATATATATATATCACTTCGGCGAGATTGATTGAGTTGAGGGAGGGATGGAGTGGGTTGGGTGGGACTCGGGTCCAGAGATGGGGTAATGGCACACGTTGAGGACTTGGGAGAGTAGATTACATTAATGTGAAGGTCTGGCACGGGGGCTGTTGTGGGTATGAGAATTTACCTGTACCCACCATGTATATCTTCCTTACCTCTGTAGCTCTCTGCTCCTTTGGTATATCTTTCTTGAGAAATATATCCTCGTGGTTTGCATTGAGTTTCTAGGACGCTCTCTCTCTCACTCTCTCTCTCTCTCTCTATATATATATATATATATATATATATATATATATATATATATATATATATATATATATATATATATATATATATATATATATCTTTTCTTGCTAGTAACCCAACCTTTAGCAATGTAGTTAATTTGGCCAGCCCCATTATATTCTGGGATTAGACATACCAAGCCTATATACTTTTTTTCGAAATTTTGTGCTTTCAGGAAGGATCTTCTCACTGGTCTAATGCATTCAAGCACTGCTAAGATATACGCTGTTTGCAGCGCTTGGGGAGTGTGAATGTTTGGACTCCCAAATACTACTCTTTTTTTTTAATTTCTGTGTGTGTGTGTGTGTGTGTGTGTGTGTGTGTGTGTGTGTGTGTGTGTGTGTGTGTATGTGTGTGTGTGCGTGCGCGTGTACGCGTGTGTTGTATGCGTGTGTGCTTATTTGCATTTGGGTTTTTGTCTCCTGGCGGCTCACTTTAACTCACTGCAAATAAAACTTTTATAATTCGCATCCGCGGCATTAAACCCTTTTATTTCTGGCCACAAAACGTATAACAAAATTAAAACTCTTGATCGCATTACTTGGTATTAGACAGTTTTTGTTTACAGGGCAGGTATGTGATCACTGAAGCAGATAAAGCCTCCTTAATCCAACCTCCCCCACACAGGGGGATTAACACTAGGCTTGGATTTTATAATCCTGAAGGGCTATGTTGGTTCCTCCTGATGTACTAGGACGGGGCTGGTACCTCCTGGATAACCTGCAAGGGGCTGGTACCTCCTGGATAACCTGCAAGGGGCTGGTACCTCCTGGATAACCTGCAAGGGGCTGGTACCTCCTGAAGGACTAGCGGAGAGTAGGTCTCTCCTCACCTCCTTCGCCACTATCACGCTCTCCTGAATAATAATAAACAACTTGTGTAACTTTACGATGAAGATTTGGGGAATTATGTAATTAAGTATGACTGTAACTGCAACATTTCATACTTCTAATGAAAAACGTGTCTTACTTATCTCGTTAATTATGTAGGTAATAATTTGTTTTCCCTCAGGAGCATTATCCTAACATTAATCAAATAATTAGTTTTTTTGTGGAATTTCTGCCTTTAAAATTCTTTCAGAGGGACTAAGTTCTTTGTCCCCTCTTTTAGAGGAGCAAAAGACAGTTTGTTAATATATTCAGAGGTTCTACTAGTTGTGTTGTACAGCGTGTCAGTATACCCATAAACTATACTGATATATATCAGCATACCCATGAATTATATTGTTATGAATCCACAATCTCTCAGTATATCCATAGCTTCACTCTCTTCTTGCATACATGGGGATCACTCCCACCCACAAAAGTACACACATCCGCCACAATAGCACACACATCCACTACAGTACAATAAACACCATTTCCGTACCACACACACACACTACCACTACAATATCCAACAAAATAATAGCAACATGTTGTAATGAATACCAGAATATCATAGGCATTCGCCAATTCATTCAATTTCCAATCCACTAACCTACAGATACACATATCAAGCTGTTCACTCATCCAAACACCTACCTATATACCCACATTCACCCTATATAAACCTTCCCCTTATAACTGATTAACCCAAAATCCACCACACAACCCATTCTATGAACCACACAACCCATTTTTTGCACCATAACCAAATCATAAATTTTGGTTGTATCATATGTTTATATATATATATTATATATATAATATTTATATGTTTATTTTCTATTTAATTCTATATCATATGTTTTTCAGAACGTCCTATAAAAATCCAAAATCACAAAATATTTCCGAATTTACAGCCTCGTTTAAGAAGCTAAAGCAATGACGGTATATATCTTCTTTGCTCTGTTTCATGTATTTATCTAAGCTATATATTTACTTTCATATTATCGTTATATTAATGTGTCCGCACAGTGACCATATACCAGTATTTGCACGTCGACCCATTGAAAACTGTTGTTGTTGTTGTTTTAGATTCAGCTACTCGGAACAAAAAGTTCTAAGTATAAGTAATTCTAAGTTCCACTATTGTGAGCCCGTAGTGGCCTTACCTGGCGCAGGAGCGGGGCTGTAACTCACTACAAACTGGAAGGCATGTCACCTATATATATCGGGCTGGATCGTTACATGTTAGGTTTCACCTGACTGATTGCATGGACGCGATCACCGCTCTGCCATCTGTAACTTCTCTTGGCAGTTCCGCTATTTGTAAACATGTTACCTAAACATGCTGCGAGAGTGCTCAGACAGTTTAAACCATGGGATATAATACATTGGCGCAGTAATAAAAGTATTTAAGCACTCCTGAAATGCACTGCTCTTCTATATTTATTAATACACGGGCTTTTTCATACACAAACAGCCCAGTTTGGATCTACTGTTCCGTTGCTGTTTGTAATCCGTGATCCGCCAAGGGCCAAACACACCCAGAAACACACAGAAATCACAATAGCGTGATGAATCAAACTAACAAATCCACAAGGGCCCTGACGAGGATTCGAACCTACGTCCGAAATCATCGATTAAGGCAGCGTCTGGGATGATCTCGGACGCAGGTTCGAATCCTCGTCACGGCCCTTGTGGATTTGTACATACAGAAAAAGTTAACTACACCTATATAGGTAGGAGAGAAGAGAAGAGGAAGGGGTAAGGAAAGGAGGTGGGGAAAAAGAGCTGAGTTATACAAAGAATGTGGTGGGAAGATAGACGTAGGGAATAGATGGGGCAAAGAAAGCAAGAGGTGGGAAAAAAAAGGGACATGGAGGAGGAGGATAAAGAAGGGTGTGGGAGAGAGGAGGGAGCTAGAAGCCCAAGTTTATTACTGGGAGAATGTCCATCGTCTATTTTGGTGAGGCTGAAGCTCCAGACTCATGAGATGTGAGTGCGCATACTGCGCCCTGGCCGCAAGAACCGTACACACCTCAGTAGCATACGTGCGCAAAGAAACAAAACTGCTGTGCTTCTGAATGCGAGTGTGTGTGTATTATTATATATATATATATATATATATATATATATATATATATATATATATATATATATATATATATAATATATATATATATAATTGACGATCACAAAACACTGATCATTTTATGCGGAAAATCCACAGAGAAATATGAAATGAGGTGAACGTTTCGGCTTTGTTAAAGCCTTTGTCAACACCAGACTGACTCTAGTCAGTCTAGACTAGAGACTGTCTAGTCTCTAGTCTAGTCTTCGAGTCAGTCTGGTGTTGACAAAGGCTTTAACAAAGCCGAAACGTTCACCTCATTTCATATTTCTCTGTGGATTTTCCGCATATATATATATATATATATATATATATATATATATATATATATATATATATATATATATATATATATATATATATTATATATATATGGAAAACTCTTCCTCGTGAAGGGTTCGAATTTTAGTTCCCCCAGGAGCTGAAAACCCACTGGTGAGTCCAGTACTCTGACCACACTGACTACACTGGCTACCACACTGATTGGTAGCCTCGGTTACCACTCTACCAATGACTTTTGAACAGTCAGTGTGGTCAGGTGGTCAGAGTACTGGACTCGCCAGTGGGTTTTCAGCTCCTGGGGGTTCTAAGGTTCGAACACTTTCATGAGGAAGAGTTTTCCAAATACAATTGCCTTACGGTTTATGCAAGTATATCATATACAGTAATAATATATTAGTATATTTTGATAGCAGTCTTTCTTGTAAACATATGTTGTTGAATATGACCGAAAGGGTAAGATTAATAATTCTAACACGAATCTTCTCAATATTTCTTATGTTTTTCTTCACAGTCGAGGGTAATTGAAAAATTTATTCTCCAAAATTATTTCTTTATTTTTAGTCTGACGCCTGAACGCGTTTCGTAATGCTTCTTACATCTTCAAAGACTACTGAAAAAGTCTTTGAAAATGTATAATATATAAATGTATAATATATATAATATATATATATATATATAAATGTATATATATATATATATATATATATATATATATATATATATATATATATATATATTATATATATATATATATATATATATATATATATATATATATATATATATATATATATATATATATATATATATATATATATATATATATATATATATATATATATATATATATATATATATATGGCTTGGGTTGGGGCAATTGGAAGAGCATGGGACTGGAGTATGGTAGTGTTTATTGGAAGAATAATATGGTGTGTGGTCTAGTCTTCTCGTCTACTTTTCTCTGAGGTTGTTGGCCAACCGGTGCAAGGTTCCCCACTCCCCTCGGGAATTACTGACCTGAGATTGTGGTGTTTTCAATGTGATAACTGTGCATGTGTTCTTTTAACTAGTGGGTGAGAGGTATTGACTGCTCCTGATCTGGTGTCTCCTGCAGGCGGGGCAGCAGAAGGTGGACTACCAAGTGTCGGGTGGGTGGGGGGCGTTGACCGTGGGCGCGGACGGAGGCGTGTCTCTGTGGCGCTCCCTCGACCGTGAGGCCCCTGACGGCGACACGGGCGTGGCCACGGTCATCGCCGTGGACCGTGGGCGGCCCCCGCTCACCTCCACCGCCACCCTCACCATCACCGTCGCCGACGTCAACGACTGCGCACCGCGCCTCCTCCCGCCCACCGTCCTGCACGTCACTGAAGGGACGCCGCCCACGCTGCTGGGGGTACTCACAGCTACCGACTACGACGTGTGGGCGTTAGGGCACGGACCCCCCTTCAACTTCACCCTGTCTCCCACCAACCCCATCCACGTTCTCACCCACATCAAGCTCAAATTCGACCCACGTAAGTAGCCTAAATTGTGAGTTCCTCTGTCGTCCAGTGTTGGTGTTCTGGGAAGAAACGTTTTGAGATGGAGGAAGGTCTCTGCCGTGACACATGATACAGTATAGACTCTTCATATATCGAGAGAGAGAGAGAGAGAGAGGAACGCAAGACTCGGAGAGAGTCAGGGGACGCCTTCTAGGCTGACAACGTCAGGTCGAGGATAAGATCTGGTTGCATTTGCTCAAATAAAAAGCCCTGTATTAGACTGACCGACCCGGGTTGTTGCAGCTTGCTCCAGTGCTAAGCTGAGGTATGCAAGCTTGCTGCCAGGATGTGCTGGCACTGTGCCACATTACTCATGCTGACATTTTGTGAGCCCCTGTGAAAATATATATATATATATATATATATATATATATATAACTGAAAACTCACACCCCAGAAGTGACTCGAACCCATACTCCCACAACTGGTATGTACAGGGACGCCTTAATCCGCTTGACCATCATATAGCCTCGGCTATCACTTCCTTATGTCCGGTCGTGATGGTCAAGCGGATTAAGGCGTCCCTGTACATACCAGTTGTGGGAGTATGGGTTCGAGTCACTTCTGGGGTGTGAGTTTTCAGTTGTATATAGTCCTGGGGACCATTCAGGCTTGTTTGCATATATATATATATATATATATATATATATATATATATATATATATATATATATATATAGGATAGGATAAGAATAGGGGTGGTAGGAGAAGAAAATATCAAAGTGTTCAGTGAGGATCCACAAGGTCTTCTCTGAGTACTCTTTATTTTCTTCTCCGAGGCTATGGGTCCCAACACTTGCACCAGAGGTGGTACCCCTTCTAGGTTTATATATATATATATATATATATATATATATATATATATATATATATATATATATATATATATATATATATATATATATATATATTTACATACACACACACCATTCACACTAGAAGTATCCAGTGGTGCCGAGTCTATCACTCCTCCCTCTCCTTCTCCCTCTCTCCTAATACAACGCAGTTCGAAAAAAAGTATATTACATGACAGTTTGTGAGAGACTTGTTATGCCACTCCCCCCCCCCCCCCTGAGCCAGAAGCACCGACCCCCAAGGGGGGGGGGCAGTGCCCCCAAACATACCTCCAAAGCCCCCACCCCCCTCCCCTCCTCCTACCTCCTCCTCCACCAGGCGACCCCAGCCCAAGGTACCTCCCCCCCTCCAGGCAGTCAACCTGGCATTTTTCTATTTCAGCTAATTACAACCTATCATAGTAAGAATTTTGTGAACATTTTTGTATAATCAGCGAATAACGTTTTACATGACAAAATGTTGATGAATACAAAAAACAAATTTAAAGTCGTCAATAATATTGCGAGAATTTGCTTGCGGGTACGTCTGGCACAGGGTCACGTGGCACCCTATTCTGTGACGGCTGTACCTACCCACCCGTGTTGGGCACGTACCCAAGCCATCACTGAAACATAAGAGATTGGTAAGCTGCAGTGGGCCTATTGGTAAATAATGAGATGTTTCGATTGATTGATTGATGAAGCCACCCAAAAGGTGGCACGGGCATGAATAGCCCGTAAGTGGTGGCCCTTTTGAGCCATTACCAGTATCAATAGATGATACAGAAGATCTGTGGAGGTGCAACTGCACCCTGCGTGACGGGAGATGTCTCCCGTGTGATGTTTCACCACAATCTTGGTTATATATACGGCTGCTGTAACTGTACAGCTGCTGTAACTAAACTGTATTACGGGCTATTCATGCCTGTGCCACCTCTTGGGTGGCTTAATCTTCATCCATCAATCAATCTAAAGTGTAACAGAAGGTTCGCCCTCTGCAATATGGTATCTTCAGGCCACCAAGTTTGAAAGGTTAAATATCCCAAAAGGAATCCACAGGAAAATAGCAGTTCGGTTATATAGACTACGTCTAGGTTACAGAAGCAACTGGGAGATTGGTGAACGCCGACAGGGTGAAGGCATCTTCTGCCAAACAATCACAGATAAGCCACTACTTCACTATCTCCTGGACCGTTAAGGAACGAACGACTTTAGAAGAGCTTTAAGAGTCCCTGAATCTTGCAGTAAACACCCTGAACCCGTCAACATTGCCACTCTTCTGGTCAAAAAAGGTGTCCAGCGCTGGACACCCTCATAAATACTGACAAGCAGTATCCTCCCCCGCGATAGCAGCCTGATGATTAAATGCGACCTAAGCACATAGTATATATTTACTAAACAAAATATCTACCACTTACAGGCTATTCATGCCCGTGCCACCTCTTGAGTGGCTTAATCTTCATCAATCACTCTAAACTGTAGCTACTTGCACTCTGCCTTTGAAAATGTTGACATTGTCAACAAAACCCATCTCTTAGCGTCAGGCCATAATAATAATACTGCATTAACTCTCGTAGAGTTACTTCAAGTTCTACAATAAAGTAGAATTATTTCAACTTCCTTCTCAAGAGAAGAAAAACATAAGAAAAATAGGAAATTATATTCGTTGAATATAATTAGGAGCTTCTTCACAAGGGTCAGTAGGCATTCTACAGTTTAATACATTCTTATGTTATTATGTTCGTTATTGATTGAAGGTAATGTCCTTCAGTCCCTTCGTGTGGTACTCAAAGTTATGCCTCAATAACGTCCTCTGTACCGCCATCCATTACCACCACTGTTGTGTCCTAGGTAATACCTCAATAATACTCACACGTTCACGAAAGTATTCCTGAATAATGTCCACTACCATCTCCCGGTGTGTGATGTACAATTACTTCTCCGACGTATTTATACATGTACAGAAATCTGTTACTTCAAGTGTCATTAAATAAATCAACAAGATCTGCTGGTCAGGACAGCGAGTGAGGTTTCAGATCCGTATGCAATCAGCACACGTCCCGAGGCGGGGGATTGCATGCAGATCGTCCTGTCTGGTCGTGAATTATCTAGAATACGGCATTGCAAAGGGCTTTGTTTACCTTCCAGAGACTGTCAAGGCAGCGAGCACGGCGCCGCGCGGGAATGTGCACACAGAGGGGAGGGTTATCTTGAGGTTATCTTGAGATGATTTCGGGGCTTTAGTGTCCCCGCGGCCCGGTCCTCGACCAGGCCTCCACCCCCAGGAAGCAGCCCGTGACAGCTGACTAACACCCAGGTACCTATTTTACTGCTAGGTAACAGGGGCATAGGGTGAAAGAAACTCTGCCCAATGTTTCTCGCCGGCGCCCGGGATCGAACCTAGGACCACAGGATCACAAGTCCAGCGTGCTGTCCGCTCGGCCGACCGGCTCCCCCAAGGGTCATGCTATCGTGCACTAGAATAATATGGCGTTCAAGGTGCACAGTCTCCATCTGGTGCTTCTAATTACTGAAGACATATACAGATTACAACATCAATCATTTCTCAAGTTATTAACTATCCATCGGTTTCAATTTGTGACACATTTGTACGTTACCGAAACGTTTTGAGGGTCCTTGAAATTGAAATAAGTTTATTGATGTAAAATACACACAAAGGGATGAGGTAGCTCAAGCTATTCTCACCCCGTTCAGTACATCGGTCCTTGGGACGGCCAAGTCAATGTGCACCATATCAACGTTCAAGACTTGAACAATAAAGCTGGAAACCTCCCCCCAAAAGAATGAACATTCGTGGTCCGACAGCTTAACTGAATTAAAGACACCTGCGTAAAGCATTCCCGTTGATTTGTCATCAAGGTGATTGTTATTGTCTCTCCGGCGCACTAAGATAATGGTACTTGATTACCGGTTTCCCATACACAAGCAAAATGGCTTATACATACGCATACCTGCGCAAGCATAAATTTACGCACGACGAAAATGGTTTAGTTCTTTTCCCCTGAATTTGCGTATCAGCGAGCGATTTTGTCGTCGGTTTTATTAGAATGAACGTCTCGTCAGACACATTTTTACGTCTTACCTCGCGCAGTAAGGAGAAATGATGTCGACATGAATATTGATGGCGATATTAAATGAATATTCAGATTTTGAGCGACGGGTGACAGATTACCGGCTGTGAGTGACGGGTGACACGAAGCTTAGATCTTGACAGGTTTTGAACGACAGAGGACACGAATCATTAGTTTTTGAGCGACGAGTGACACAAATTACACGTTTTGAGCGTAGAAAAGCTCTTTCATAAAGAGTATTTTATTATATATAATAAGATCGTGCGAAATATGAATTTTAAATTACTATTGACCCCATTAAACTACATCATTTAGAAGCGAAGTAATGGGTGTTTTATGATACAAACACAACAGATGATGGGGTAACGTCGGGTATCTGATGTTCAGGTTGACTCTCACTGATCACTGGAAATTCTAACCACTTGGAAAATATTGTAAAACCTTGTTATGTTCTGCAAATAATTGCCAACATAACTAATTCACTAAACCTATCCTACGTCTAGCTAAACACAAAATTATCATATATATATATATAAATATATATATATAATATATATATATATATATATATATATATATATATATATATATATATATATATATATATATATATATATATATATATATTTGACAAAACATTTTTGTCTTTGTGACTCTTATTAGCAGGTTGAGAGCTTTCCTTTCCCATAACTCATGGTATGCCTTACCAACCAGCTTTCTCTGGAACAGGACCCGCCAGTCGGTTAACATCCAGGTGCCCAATTACTGCTGGGTGAATAGAGGCGAACAGTTAAGAAATGGCGACACTGACAATCCTCTCTGGCCAGGACTCGAACCCAGACCAAAGCGTTCGCTAGGCGTGGAGGTCTTTGGGTTCGGTTGCAGGTTTAACGATCACAGCCTCAGGCTTGGCGGTTTTCGTTCATAAACAGGAATGGGGGAGAAATGGGGGGAAAGGGTAAGTAAATGCTTATAGGATAACGAGCCTTTGATCAAGATTTTAAGGATGAACTGAAACAAACAACAATTACTAACGCAATCAAGCTAT